ATAATTTATTAGTTATTTTTAGGTTTTTTTTTTTTTAATATACCTAGAGCGCTTTATAGAACGTCTCGATAACGTATAGCTAAGGGTCGAGATCTAGTCTACGCTCTAGTTTCTATAGATTATCTATAGAGAATACTATTATTATTAGATTATTTAGTCTTATACTATCTTTAGTCTAGAATTAGGTCTTAGTAAGTATCCTTTAAGATATTATCGATAAAGAACTAAAGACTTAACTATATTATAGTTAGTATTTTAGACTACTAACGAAGATAATAAATTACCTTATCTCTACTTCTTACGAGATTTCGAGTACTCTTAAGAGACGAGATTCCTTTTAAGTATCGAAAGAGTTATTCTAGTAGAACTAGAAAATATCGTAGATATACTTTCTATAGTATTAGCGAATATCGAGAAGAATAAAGTAGATATATCCTAGTCTATAAGATTCTATAGTCTTATATCTTTAGATTAATTTAATCTATTAACGGAGTATAGTTTCTTCTTACTCGAGATAGCTTTAGCTAACTTATTATAGCTATTCTCTATATAATTTATATAGAATAAACCTACTATATTATCTATATACTCTATAATATCGATAGGATAGGTCTTGATATCTATCGATATAGATTCGAGTAGCTTAATATAGAATAGAATAGAGATATCTTATATAACGGCGTCTTAGTACGGTTCGATAGAATTATTCTTATTTCTTAAGATTCCTTATTTATTCTAAATATAGTTTCTTATTCTTTTCTAGAATATTAGAGAGATTTCGAGAGAACTAAAAGTCCCTTCGTTTCCTATTCTTCGTATATCGAGAGAGTTAGATTATAATAGTCTATTATTACTTCTCTATTTCTACCTAATCTAGGCGTATAAAAAGATAATCTCTATTCTAGCTATTCTATTTAATACTCTTAAAGTACTAATATTTTCGTTACTCTTTCTAGCGACGAGATATTATCTACTTAAAGATAAAGTAATCTACTCTAGAGAATTAGAAGCGAGAGCTACTTTAATTATAGTTTATTTCTCGTAAACTATCGTAGTCTTCTCTATCGATATCGCGCCGTAGAATATTAGTTTCTATTCTCTATTTCGTTAACGTCTATTTATTAGCGTTACTTTAGCTCTACGGCTCTTCTTTATCTTACTTAAACTATTTTCTAGTTATTCTTATAATATCTATTATTACTTTAATATTATTAATAGCTTATAATATATCGAGAGATTAGACTTATTACTAAGTACCTAAAGTACTTTATTTAAAGACTTCGTTATATTATCTCTAACTATTTAGAGTCGTATTTACTATACTCTAGTAAGCGATTAGATTATTCTCTTATCTAAATCTATCGAGTAATATTATATTAGACGGCTTTTATAGATAAATAGATATAAGATTTTCTAATTTATTATTTCTAGTATATATATACTAAATTATAGCTTCTTTAGAATTCGAAAGAGTTCGAAGTAGTTAGATTTAAATTTCTACTTTAATATATTATTTAGAAGAACGAAATCGCCTTCTTTAAGTAAAAGATATAGTATTTCTAAATACGTTAATTATAGTCTTTAAGAGTAGAGCTCTCTCTCGACTAGTAGCTTATTTACTTTATAATATATAATATATAGCTATTTTAGTCTTAAGATAAAGTTAATATTAAGATTTAATAGATTAAATTCTCGTTAATCGCCTATTAATTAAGATTCGAGTCCGTAGACGAGCTTATATAGACTTATTCTAGTTATTATATAGAATTTAATATAGATTACGAATAATATTAATAAAAGATACTTATTCTATAAGAGAATTTATTATTTAATAAGTTACTTTATTAGAATCTCGCCTAGTATTTTATTAAATTTTTCTATCTTTTTATTAATCTAGAGATAGTAAAAAGTCGTTATATAATACTTTATCTTAACGCGATTAAGGTAGTACTCGATAATCTTTAAGATTAGATTAGCGCTATTATTTAATAATAATTCTTAAAATACTTTATACTAGTAGTAGATTTCGAATAGAAAGTCGATAACTACTTCGTTCGTAATATTCTTTATAATCTTTACTATTAACTAGTCTATAGAGAAGTTAATAGTTATTAGAATCTATTAATTTCTATAGAGTATAATCGATAGTAAACTAACGAAGTCGATTATCTACTTCTTAAAGAGTTAAGAGATTTGTTTAATCTATAAATATAGTTCTTTCTAGTTCTTCTTCTATCTCTAGACTAACTAGTATTAGTTATAAGTTCGAGTATATATAAGAATATTCTTTATTATAGATAGTTACTATCTATATATCTTAATAATACTTTCTATAGCGGCCGTACTATAGTATTTATAATACTTATAATAATACTTAATAAAATCTCGATAGAATAATATAGAAATAAAGAGAGCGAAGTAATTACTAATCTTTCGAAATAGACGATTTTCTTCTATAAAGTATTAATCTAGATTCTTAATACGCGCTAGCTACTCTTTCTAGACTAAGCTTAAGTCGGATTTATTCTTTATTATTAATTAAGCTATAATAATATCTTTTTAGTCT